TTTCAACGCCACGGATCAGCTTGACTGCTGCGTCTTGACGATCCGTAATCGTCCAGACGGCCGTTTTAGGGACATCAACACCGCGAATTAACATAACTGCTGCACCCGCATACTCCTGAATCTGGTACGCTGATCATGGGAATCCGTGAAGCCCTTGCAGTGTTTTGAAACGAATGGGCGCGTCGCTGAGGCGAGAGCCTCATTTTGAAAACCACCTGCCCTCAGTCCGTGAAACTCTTGCAAATGCTTAAACTTTAACGAATGTGCGCGGCGCGAAGGCGAGAACCGCATTTTGAAAAGGAGTCGCCTTCAATCAGTGAAGATCCTGTAGTGTTTTAAAGCGAATGTGCGGGGTGCTAAAGCGAGGCACATTTTGAAACGACCCTGCCTCAATCCGTGAAGCTCTCGCATTTTGTTTAAACAAATGTGCGCGGCGCTGAGGCGAGATCCACATTTTGAAAACCACATGCCTTCAATCCGTGAAGCTCCAAAATCAATGTGCGCGGTGCTAAGGTGAGAGCCACATGTTGAAAACGACCCGCCCTCCATCTGTGATGCTGTTTGCTTTTTTTTCAAGTTCAGAGTCATGCATGGTGAGGAAGTCTCAGGCGAAACGCCCAGCCCGCCCCAGAAACTGGCCTCGGGGTGCGACAGGGACACTTTATTTATAAGGAAAAGGAATGAGCAGGAGGAGTAGGAGCAGGAACAGGAGCAAGAGGAGGAAGAGGAGGAGGAGGAGGGGGAGGAAGAGGAGGAAGAGGACGAGGAGGAAGAGGAGGACCAGGCCCACGCCTACGCCCAGGCCCAGGACCATGAGCAAAAGCAGGAACAGCAGGGAGAAGAGCAGGAGAAACAGGGCCGAGAAGAAACAAAGTACCGCCCACCAGCCCACCCCAACCCAGCCCGAAGGCCCCGAGTCGCCCTCCATTCCCAGTGGGGGCGGCGTCGGGGAACATTGAAAGAGACACACGTGGAACCCGCGGATTTAGGGTTCGGATGGGGGGTGGCCTGGTACCCAGACCCCCGACGTCATGTTTTTTTTCAAAACGTCGACCCCCAGGGGTCCCCAGGTCAGGTTTTTCATCCTGAGTCGTTTTGTTGACGCTCCCGAGGGCTGGTAAGGGCACCCAGAGGCCGAAAATGGCGAAAAACTTCCCGTCATGTTTTTTTCGTTACTCGAGGGGGTCTGGGTAGGTAGTCAGGACAAGGAGGAGGCCTGCGTGCTTGTCCACCGCGGCCCCTCAACGCGACGCGCGCGCGGCGCAGCGAGGGCCGACGCGGGTTTTGCGCGCCATCGGCGATCCCCAGCGGGGTGAGCACACGCTCGGGCTAACATCAAGTCGGGCCTGTCTTTCTACAGGAGGAATATTCAAACATAAGAAAAGTAAGGAGACGATGTTTTTGTTGTTTGGTCTTTGAATATTGTTTGATGCTTGTTTTGACTATTCTTAATTTGTTCGTCCAAATCGGCCTGTAGGGGGACAGGCCCGGCTTAAGGCTAACGCGCGTCCTGGGGATCATCGATCGGCACTGCGCCCCCCTCCCCTCGGGTGTTGCTAGAAGTACCCCTGGCCCACGGTGCCCCCAGGACCTCTCTAGGGAGGCCCCCACGGCGTCCAGAGCACCCCTCGCAAGGGCCATAGGGGGGCCCCGGGGCCTCACAATTGAGCGAGAAGCCGGGGGCACCTTGGGCCGGGGGCACCTTTCCCAGACGTGCGTCGTCTTGGTTTTTTCAGGACGGCGTCCCTGGAAGTCCCGACCCTTTCCCTGGGACCGGCTTTTCATCCGGAATCGCTTTTTGACGTTCCCGATCGCCCGGCGAGGGCCCCCCGAGGCCGAAAATTGGCCAAAACCTCGCGCCCTGATCTTTGTACGACGCGATCACGCCTGGGTTCGCAACCCCCGATCCCCTGCATGACGAACAAACAACACACACCCATACCCATAGGGGGGTCGCTGGGAGGAGGACTGGCTATGGGTATGGGTGCGGGTTGTCGGACCCTGGGGAACGCTCCCGTTCGAGCGGGGACCCCCATTCGAACAACGCGCACCCATAGCCCCCGCCGACCCCCCTGTGGACCCAGACCCCCGACGTAATGATTTTTTCATTACGTCGACCCCAGAGTTCTCGACCCCTTCCCCAGGACCGGTTTGTCATCCTGAGTCGTTTTTTGACGCTCCCGAGGCCCGGTGAGGGCCCCCAGAGGCCGAAAATGGCGAAAAACCTCCCGTCGTGATTTTTTCATTACTCGAGGGGGTCTGGGTGTGGATGTGGGTGTGTGTTGTTGGTTCGTCACTGCAGGCAGGAGGACCGACGGAGGCAGGCGGGCCCGCCCCCCGCGCGGGCCGCCAGGCCCCCGCTCCGGGGAGGCCGCGGGCCGCGGCTGGCGGCGCCGCGACCGCGGGGCGGAAGCAGGCCCGGGGGCCCGGGCCGCCTCCTCCCGGGGGGGGGGTACCCTCTCCTCCTCCTCCTCCTCCTCCTCCTCCTCCTCCTCCTCCT